TGCACACACTGGATATACACACAGCTGCAATGCTACACGGTGAATGTCTTTTTGAGCAGGAGGCTGGACAGTTTCCAAAATGGACTCATTACGGATCTTTTACTGTTAAAGTACTAAATGGTGAATGTTTTGTGCTTAGTTTGGATGGCATTGACCTTGAAATTTTTTTTTTTTAAATAGTATTTCTATTAAATGCTATTCTATTATTACCTTTAATTTAGTTTAATTTTCATTTCTTCACCCCTGCAAGTTTTGTTAAAGCATTACAATTCTTTTTTTATTTTGCATTTTAAAATCCCAAATCTGTCTCAAAAAACTATTAAAAATTCCAAGTTTGAAAACTGGTTTTCCCTCAAATTCAAGGACAGGAACATACCTGTGCTCACACACACATGAACATACTTGTGCACACACAACTTTTATTTATGCCAAACTGGGCTCACTGACCTCCACTTTGGGGCCAGGAGAAAGATAAAGAGGGAACAAGCTGTCTTTGTGTCTGACAAACTACTTTCTGCACATTACACACACACACACACACATTCACACACACACACACACACACACACACACACACACACACACACACACAATGAAGTATTCACTGTGCATCCAAGAGTGTGTTCAAAATATAAGCATATGCATCAATCCTGAGATGTAACCTGGACGTTTTAAGGCTGTCTGGGAGTTCGGGGGTTTGGTGGGGGGTCAACGGCAGTGAAACCTCGGCCAGGAAATTCACAGCGACTGACTCGACACCGTGTCGACTTTAGAACAGTCTGTGTGTGTTTCATTTGCATTCATCTTTGTATTAGCTGTGGATAAACACTCAAGCCGCGCACACTGAACACCGTTTGTGTGTTTCAGATGAAGTGCTTGCCTGATTGTCGAATGTCTGAAACCCAGACCTCCACATCCTGAAAACACATTCAGCTTCTGACTAAAAGCAACAGAATGCTTATAGACAATGTTTCTGCGTGAACACAAAATCGGCTGTAGAAGAAACGGTTTCAGTTGTTTCGCATTGGGAGATTTGTGTATTTGACTTTTTGTCTTTTCTGTTTTCACTGGTTTTCTGTGGACTGGTCTCAGCTGAAGAAGGCGATGTCATTTTTGCACCAGTCAGGATTTAGCAACACTTAAATTGAAGTCTGACAGCAGTTGGGGGTTGTTTGCTTGATTTTCTAATGTTAATAAAGAAATATTTAATATTTGAGGCTAAGATATTACGGGCTCTAAGACATCACTGTTTCTGAAGAGACAATTTGAAGTTTGAGGTTTTGCCCATCCATTTTTCCTCTAGTTCTTCTATTTTCTTAAGTGTCATTTTCTCAAAAGTCAAGTGGATTTAGAATGTAGTGATTATTCTAGAGGCCAGGATGCACGCTGAAGAAGAAATACTGTGTGATTACTGAATCGGGATACATCTAGAAAATTAGAAATTGTACACTAAAGGCGGATATGAGGTTGAATGAGCAAGTGGGAACCAAATGGGATAAACCGGCACCAGTCAGTCAAGGCAAACTTGGCCTCAAGCATACCTCACTGTAAGCCTTGACATCTCCATACTGGACATCCAGAGGGTTTTCCATTCCACAGGTATTTTCAGGATTCACCTAGAAAAAAATAATCAAAATGAATCAGCAGAAAATCAGTTAGAAGAGGTCGAAGTTCCACCCACACATTGTGTTTGTCTAACAGGCGATGGAAAGTGCAGTGAAGATAGATGGAGATTCAGTAAAAAAAAAAAAAAAAAAGGAAATAAAATGGATTGGTTTGTCTTTGTGCTGAACTCACTGTTGACAGGTCGTGTGAGGTGCCACTTGAGCTTAAAGAAGCCTTTGTCATGAGCTGATCTGGCACTAGCAAAGAGTAAGTGCTCCACCATGTGGACTCAAAGATATCAGCCCGCATGAAGCTCACAGGGATGATTGAGGCTAATTTTCTCTCAAGCTGAGGTTTGAAAGTTTGACAAATGTTCCTTTTGCATTTGTATTGTCCTTTTGTGGTCAGAGCTCAAGCTTTGTCTTGTTAATGTGCAATTTTACTCTGGTCTGTGGTCAGACAGTAATGTCACTTTCTTCCTCATTTTTTTCTTTTTCTAACCAAATAAGTTGAGACACATTTCCCCCATGTGTGATCACTGAACATTTCATTCCACAACTATGGTCATTAATCTGCTGCTACAACAGCTTTAACAATGCTGGGAAGGATTTCAACATGATTTTGGACCGTTTGGTGAGTTCAGCCAGTGATGTCTGGTCATTAGGCCTGACTCACAGTTGGCATTGCACTTGATACCAGAGGTCACCAATGGAGTTAAGGTCTGTGCAGTTCTACACCAGAATGGGAAAAACATTTCTTTAAGGGCCTGGCTTCATGCATGGAGGCATTGTCATATTGAATCGGGAGAGGCTCTTGCCCAAACTCAAAGTTGGAAACACACCTATCGTCTTAAACAGACCGGACCAAAACCGTGGAAAATGCAGGTGACGATCTTATAGCAAAACCCAGATTCATCGACCTGACAGCAGCTGGATTCATCACTCCAAGCAACACCCTTCCACTGCTCCAGATTCTAACGGTGGTGTGCTTTACTCCAACAGGCACCTGTCAATGAGAATGGTGATGGTGAGTACAGCTGGTGTATTTGCACAGAAACATGACTAAAGTGACTTACTGGAACGACAGCACTCGGCCTTTTGGAGCACTGCTCAAGAGTATAGCCTAGCCTTGAGATTAAAAAAATCTAATATATCACCCAATATTAATTTATTTTAAATAGACACAATATGTACCAATGGGACTTTTTAGAGTTGAAAAATAATGTCGTCTGTGCTATCTAGTGGACAAACATTGTAAAGTTTGTCACTTTCTAAACAACCTCAGACGCACTGTTGGTGTTTCTGCACATTGATTTCTTTTTGCTTATCAGCTGATATATTCATTGATAATGATCTATATCTGTAATACGCTACTATCAACCAATTAATCAGATCTTCTCAGGAGAGCCCTTCTTTTTACACTGGAAAACATGTTTACAGTCTTGAAACAATAAGCCAGGGTCCAGACAGGGTCCATATCTTCTGTTAAAGGAAAAACAAATAAACAAAACAAGCTCTCTTAAAACATTTCTTTACTTAACGCACATCTTCACTTCATGTTTTTCCCTCAAGTATACATAACTTATATTGAAAGTAAATCTTAATCACAAAAACACCTAACACACAAAGACCGAGGATGAAAAACAAAAAGGCCATTTGTCTTGTATACACCATGTACTATACAGTATGTATGAGCCCTCTTCGTATAAATTACATCCAAAAAAATTTTTTTTTTCGTTAGCCAGAAAGTTGAAGACATTCAATACTAAAATAGTCAACCAATCATCTCTTATGAGGACAAATGGACTAAAAAATGTTTTTTGTTATTCTAATATTGACATCACTTTCTATTTTGACATCACTCTTGAAAATCTCTGCAGTAAATATTGTAATCTCTGCTATGGACAGTAATTACATCAGTCTCCCTATGGAGTTTATAAAGCCCCATTTTGGACCTCTCAAATGGAAAGTATTTAAAAATCTTTCACCCTTCAGTAAACCAAGAATATAACTTAAAAGTAGAAAAAAGCTTATATTTTCATGAGCCCACAGCTGTAATACATCCACTACGTTTGAAATGTGAGGACAGTATTAGTGTTTTCCATTATAATCCCTTTCCTCTCCATCCTGTAACTGAAACTGTCCTGACTCCTGAAAAATTAAAATAATTTCTTTTTATAAAAATGACATCAACCTCTACAAAATACTTAGTGTTGACAATGATTAACAGCAGCGGTTTCTGGTACTTTTTGAAGAAGCAGAGGATGTAATTTAGGCTCTGAACATCTGGATATTTCATCAATTAATGATGAGCATCTGATAAAGCTGTGCCTTGTCACAATGTTATTTAAGTGTCCTATAATAAAAATATTTTATTCCTTTCTTATGCATCCTATGAAAATAAAATGAACAGGAACAGGAAAACAACACATGGTTAAATAATTAGAAAAGATTGCTCGTAAATCCTTTGAGTTTTACCAAGCTTTAGGTTGTCTTCTTACAGTGAAAAATCACTGTGCTTAAGAATAAGCAAATAAGAAACTGTTGAACTCAGAGGAATTCTGTACCACCACAAGTATCATCTTGTCCAGATTACCACATTAAAAAAAATCTAATGAATTCACCATCTGGACTCTGATTTACACAGAACAAGCAAATATTTCCATGAAAAACAACAACAAACAACTTCGAGATATTTCAGCTTTAAATAAAAATAAAAAAGGAGGAAAAGAAAAACTGTTAAAGCAATTTCTCTAAAAATTCAACTAACAACAGATTTATCTGGGCAGAAAGCCTTAGACTGTTTTTTTTTTTTTTTAAATCTGTATAGGCAGCAAAGATATTATCAAAACTGGCTACAGTGACTGATCTGGCTCTGCTAAGGTTCGACTTCACTTCTTTTCCTATGTCTGCATCTTCAACATCACATTTAGAAATAATCAAACATGGAGAAAGTAGAGAAATGAGGTGAGGACATGTTTAGAATACATTCACTGGAGATGCAAACTAACTATATTCAGATGAATGGCGGAACAAGAGGTGTGAAGTGGAGAGCAGCTTAGCTTTGAATTGTCCTTGGTTATATGTGACTGGTACTAGATGTTAGTACTGGTTAGATGTTAGTACAGGTTAAACAATTAAATTGGCTTACTGTATGTGACTGATGCATTAAACCAGACTTTAAATAATGATTAATATGCTTTAGACTTTCTATTAGAATGGTTTTCAGTCAGTAAACAAATATGTAACGGAAGTAGCAGGCAGTTGAACTCTCACAGACATTCTTGATTGTGACTGTAGGTAAAGCTGCATCACCGCTGAACCTATGATCACACGTTGAAGGGTATAACTGCTGACCATCATTTCATCTCACGCACACGTGCACGCACGCACGCACGCACGCACACGCACACACACACACACACGGAAAAAAACAAAACTTTTTTTCCATTAGAGGAGAAAAAACATTCTTTAGCCGTTTCAGCTGGGAACCCAAAATGACAAACTAACGCGTTGGGGTTCAAACCTGTGGTTTAGATGATTCTGTTCCAGGGGAACACCTACTGACGAGAGACTCTGACAGGAGCTGAAGGTCCATGGAGGTTGATGGTTTGTTAATGTGTTAAAGGGGCTGGTTGTTGTGTGTCATTCCAAGTCCTGACTGAAACCTCTGCAGTCCCTCCCTGTCCAGCCTCAAGTATACTGGTACTCCTCTGAGTACTCTGTGTCCTCGGGAGTGTACTGGTTTTCTCCGGCTGTGTACTGGTCATCCCCAGGGGCGTACTGGTCATCTGCAGCTGTGTACTGGTTGTCTTCGCTGGTGCACTGGTTGTCACTCCCATATGATTGTTCTGCTGCTTGTTGGTTCTCTGTAGTGTTCATGCCTGATTTCTTCATTCTTAAGAGAAAAAATAAAGACACATTTTGTTGCTAGTAATAAGATGGGACACATTGACACAAAGCATTTCTTTTTAAGTTTAGAATATTCCCTCCTTTATTTAGTTTTTTCAAGTGAGATCAAACTGACAGAACTGTGGCGAGGGTTAAAGAAAGCAACACTAAAACATGAGTAAGAGATGGTATCGGATGACATCTGACATCATAAATATCACAAAGAACAAAGTGGCTGCGGCAGCCATCTACGGAACATTCAGTACACACATTCTTTGTTTTTGGTTGTGTTAGAAATTCAAGCAGCACTGTTTTAATTTAAACGCACAGATTCATGAACTTAAAAAATCACCAGCAGGGGGCTCCAATGGGGAGCATTCCTAAAATGCACTGATAGCTGACTTTGTGAAATGCAACTGTTTGTCACATTTGGTTATCTCTGATGTGCCAGCGGAGGCACAGCAAATAAACAGAACACGGTCAGGACAGGAGTTCGCCTTCGTCAGATGCACTCTGTTCAGGCAAGCAGCCCCCCCTCCTTCTACGCTGCTTGTGTTACTTTGCCATGTAGTTACATCACATCTCCTTGTTGCATGGGTTGCTATAAGCACACTTGTCATCCACTGCTCCTAGTGACCAACACTGCAGCTTCCACTTCACCTGAAGATTAGGTTAGTGCAGCGCACACCTGACTAGCTCCTGATTTTGAGGTCAAAACTAAATAAAATAGCCGCCATCCCAAACAGAAAAAGACTAATGTGAACACAGTGTTGGGCTGAATAATGAGGTGAAACAATACAGCAATTCAGTGTAATTATCAGGTTGACAAAATCTATTCTTCTCCTTAAAAAAAAAAAAAAAAAAGGAGATGCTTGTACTTACTGGTTCTTATGTTTGGCACCACTGATATGAGACTGGTACTGCTCCACAGAGTTTAGTTCAATGTTGCAGACAGTACATGGGTAGCCCTTAAGTGTAGATGCTGTAGACACATACAAAGGGAGAGAAGTTAGACTTTTTGAAGTCTGTAAGACTAAATTCTTAAAGTACAGTGATTAAAATGGCAGTTCTCCACATACAATACGAGAATTCCCGATTCTGTGGTCTGACCTGGTGCTGTGGAGGGACCGTACGTCTCCATCAGTTTGAGCTTGGTCATCTGTTTTCTATGCTTCTTGCCAACGTAGTGCTGCTGGGCCATGAGCGGGTTGTTGAAGGAGGCCTGGCAGATGGAGCAGAAACGGTCTGGGTTGTTGTTGTTGTTGTTGTTGTTGCCCATTACTGGCACACTGCTCAAATCATCTGCAGGTTTCTTCTTCGGCTGAACTGTTGGTGCCGTTTGGCAGGCTACCGCTGAAGAGGAGATACAATGAAAGCAAATGTTATTCAATGTAATTTGTACAGCGTTTCAGAAAAAAAAAATCAGGTTTGACCAAAACTAAGACACAAATTGAAAAAATGTAAATCATACACTCATTCCGGAAAATAAGATAAAAGCAATAGAGAAAATTCAATAAAGATAATGGAAGGTAAAAAGCTGCAGATTTTGAATACAGTCCAACAATACCTGGGGTCTGGGGACCGACCGTCTTCAGTCTCAGGTTCTTGGCATGAACTTTCCCCTGGTAGTGAGACTCGGCCACCACAGGAGAGGAGAAGGTCATGTTACATACATGACACACCTTAGACCGGTCAGTGTCTCCATTGTTACAGTCCTGCTGAAAAGGACACACGCAGGAACATAGATCATTTGTCCGTTAAAAAAGAAAGGGCTTTACAGTATGTGATTCCTAAAACTGAATAAAAATGGCTTTTCTCTGACATTTGAGATGTTAACCAGGGCATTAATTATGTGCTGGAACAATAGGCCTTTCTCAATAAAGACTATGCAACATTCAAACACTCCTAGAAGTTGACAGCAGAAACAAAACTCCACAGAACAACACATCTCAATATGCTCAATTTTCACTTAACAATTTTTACTTTTTCGAAGTACTGTTGTTTTTGATTCAAACGTGGCAAATGAAAAGCGACAGAGCATTTGGCGTCACACAGAGTACAGTTTTTAAGTTGATGAGATAAAAAGTAAGAGAGCATTCACATTTGAAGACACGCTCATTCTTTAATATGTCACTTCAAAAATCAACAAAATATGTAACTTGCCCATGTATGCCCAAACCTTTGCATTGAACTGTAACTTTTATTCATTTTGGGTGACTTATGCTGTTCAGGTTCAGATTACATTAACTGAGTGCTTTTTACTCACACTGTCAGATGATGATGATGATGTCTTTAACTTTTTGAACGCTGGCTCCTTCTCATTTTGGATGGAAATATATCGCCGCACTTTGTTGGCATGTTTCTTGCTCTGAAAGGAGAAGCACAAAATGTTAATCACAAAGTGAACAACCAATATCAACACAGTCCCATTAAACACATTTTCAAGAAGCAGCTTGTGCATTTTCATGGCTGGTGTGTTTCTTCTGAATGACTTTAAGTGAACAATCATTTTTGCATTTAGTCCTGAACAAAAAAACTCATCTTAATTATGGCTGCACAGTTTCATGTATATACACTTCTGGTAAAATGATGAATCTATTAAATTTAACCTGACCATCTATCAATAGTTTCTGTCATCTGTCTACTACTAATATACTACTATATCTACTATAAATGTCAAATGTGTTTTGGTTACAACTTCTTAATGTAAAGATTTGCTGCTTTTCTTTGTTTCATATCACTACAAATGATTAAATGAATGTATGAAATAAATGATAAAATAACTTTCTTGACTACTGTTCAGACACAAAGATTTAGGAATCATGTTGGCCTCTTCTAACTTGTGGTCAGCACTTAATCTTAGCTGCTGAAATTTCATCGGCAAAAAGGTATAAAGAAAGAAAATAAATACAATAAAGTAAAAGCCCTAGTACTCAAACATTTAGACTTTGTCCTCGCTAAGCTAAGTCGTTAACTGTTTACCTGTGAAAACAACATTTTGTCAACACTAGAGTTTCCAGGAAATGCCTGAACTATAGGAAAACAGATACATTTCTTCTTCGTCATCCTCTTTTCAGTCTGCAAACTACATAAAATGTGGATTGCAGCCAACATCTGGTGAGCAGTGGGGCCGCAAGTCTCCTTACTCTACTGAATCTCAGCTGGTTAAACTTCTGCTCTGTCCCCTTCTGCTCTCTGTGATCATCTATGATGTGATTTCATACAACCAAACTCAGATTCCTGACTTTTCTAATGTCACATAGGATTCAGTTTAATACCTGTCACAATCAAACCGACCAAAGTGGGAAAATATCAATGACAACCAGTAAGGATGATGAGGCCTAGAATTATTTGCAAAGTGCCAACTTCCTAATATGATTAATTAATCATCAAACATGACCTGGACCTGGATAAGCAGCAGGATATGGATGGATCAATGGATTTATCTAAGGTCCACATATGAGTTTTACATAAGGTGTGGAACAATTGCACTGGGGATTTTCCAGACAGTGTTCGCGAAAAATCACATACAAAAATATTTTTTAATAAATTTACTGCCAATGGCAGGAGAGGAAAAATATCCAAGACCACTGTAAATGAAATTTAAGGTTGAAATTCAAGATTTAATACCTTCAAGATTTGCAGATACCACACAGTTGCTCTCATTTACATAATTTTCTGTTATACTTAGTATAAAGAAGTTATTTGATGAAGATTCATAAATACTTCCTACAAAACCAGCTTAATGTAGATATACTCCTATATCAATAATAAAGCCATTTATATGCTGTTAAGTATATTCAATAATTACACCTTTTAGCTAATAATTATGCACCTTTCCCCTCATATCACTGAGCATAGTAGCACCGTCAAAAAAACTGTCCCTTGACATGAACACAGCCGCAGCAGACTGTGGGCTCACTGACCTGATAATGAGTCAACTTCTGAGACTCAGAAATTAGGACAGCACTGCAGACTTTACACTGGGAGTCAGAAAACAGGTCACTGTGCTCCTTTATCATCTTATTTACTGCAGGAAGGGTAAGAAAAACAGGAGATTTCAAATCAGGTTACATCTTCTGGGAATATGTAACTATAACACATTGTGAAAAAAAAAAAAAAAAAAACCTATCCATGGCGACAGTTCAAAAAAGAATTCGGCTCAATAACTACTCAACATGCTCTTTCATTTATCAAGGGCATGAGACCGTTGTGTCCAATTCCTGCCTGGTAAATGTGAGACGTTTACCTTGTGCACGTTAATGCCTATGCAGACATCTGTGAGCAACATACTCACAGAAACAGAAGCATGTTTTAGGCCCAACTATGAGTCTGAGTCATTATTCTTGGCTCATACAATCTGGAAAATTAATTTATCTTAATGCGTCAAATACATACACCAAAAATAACTGGTGATATATTATACAGATATGATTAGGCCAAGGAGAATATATTGGTTAGATAGGACATTGTTGGAGTAAGACAAGTCATAATGTCTTTTATAGAAAGTCCATAACATAACTGAGCCTCCACCATGTTTCACAGTTCTATTTTTGAAAGCTTCCTTTTTTCTTCTTCTTTGAACACAGAGCTGATGCAACTCTAAAACTATAATTTCATTGCATCTGGCCAAAGGACACTATCCCAAAGGCTTTGCAGCTTTTCAACATGCATTTTAGCAACTGTTGTCCCAGGCACATCAAGCTGTTTGGTGATTTTGTAACCTTTACCTAGACCATGCTTGGCAATTATAGTCATCCTTGTCTCCTCAGACAATTCTACCCTTTTCTTTCTCTTGTGCATGTTAAATAAATAATAAAAAGTTTGATGAGCACATTTCACCATTTAAATAAACTGAATAACTGATTAGAAGACTGACACCTATGATCCTAACTGAAGACAATCTGCTTGGAATAGGAGTGCAATCTACTTATTTACCAACACATGTTAGGGGCACCAATAATTTTGTCCAGGCCATTTTATAAGGTCTTTAAAAAAATAAACATGAATTTGGCTCTTTTCGCAGCTTCTTTATTTTGCTCTATGGCAACCAGGGCATATAGGTATGTATGACAAAAGAGCTTTTAATTTCTGTAGCTGTATTGTAGCCTCTACATCAGGGAGGGAAAACATCTTTATACTGCGATAATCCAGAATTCAAGATAATACTACTTTATCAAATCATCTCAAACCACAGACCCTTTATTAGCTGCTGAGACTGCATTTCTTACTGATGTGCTTTTTGTTTTGGCATCACTGTCACCATCGCATCAGTAGTACGCCATGGAAGATACATAAATAAACGATAGTAGCAACGGTGGTCCACGCAAACAGAGCTGACAGCACTACTGTGAGGAGCAACAATCAGTACACGTGTCAGATATTAGACACGTTTGCATTTACAAATTACATTCAGACAACTCATACAAAGTTTAGCTCCTGTGGTGTCCATTCAAAAGTTCAGGAGTAATAACTAACGCTAAGTACAAGAGCAAACCTGGATTATAGTGCAACCCGCATTTGACCTCAACCATGCACGTCTGTGGAACCAAACCTAAAAACGCCTCTCTCAGTCTCCACTGGTCCGCAGGCAGACGCACAGTCACTCTGAAGCTGTATCGGATGCAGACTTGCTCTCATCGACCTTGGGAGCCGAAACGGCTACAGCTAGCTCAGTTTAGCTCAGTTTAGCACAGTGAAGCAAACCCGCTCCGCTCAACCTGCACTGGCGGCTAACGTTAGCTTCCAGGCAACACTGGTATTTTAAGACAGATTCGTCTCGACTGTGACCGGGTGCACTGACATGGGGCTCTGTTGCAATAAAGGTCAAATTAGTAAAGAAACAGGTCATACCCTCCGCCGGCCCCGAAGGTAAGTAAGGAAAGTCTTCCGTCTGCATCACGACAGCCATAATATTTCTACTTACAACCAGCGGCGTCGTAATACGCATGCGTAGCAGATGGACACAGCTTCTTCTTCTTTCTCCTTCTTCTGTCCCGCACAATAGGTATGGTTTAGTGCACTGCTGCCTCTCACTGGTGTGGTAACGTCATTGATACTTTTGCCTCTGAGACCTACATTTGTGGTCCTGAGGAAGTGTACTACTTCCCTAGTTCTATTGAAACACCCCATCGCTCAGTAGTACTGTAAGGGAAACATTTTAATTTACAGTTTGCCTAATTCCATGAACAAAATCCTCCTTTACCAGCACAGAGTGAGAATACATCAAGACATGTTGTACTGACTCCAGGAGTCCTCAGTATTCACAATTGCCATCTCTGTGCTTCCCCGCCAGCACCAACCCACTTGCTTGTCTGCAATATTCAAGCCCTAGCCTTTTCAATTTGATCTCATCTTTCAAAGTCATGTTCACTCCGTTGCCAGGTTTAACTCATGGTTGGATGTTGTATGTCTTTGTCCCTATCTGCATCCCACTGTTGCTACCATTGATGATTCAGTCTCTCACTGATGATGCTGCGACACTCCATCCTGCCAAATCCTGCGGTACTCCATCCTGCCATCTACACTATCCCTGCCTAAACTTGCCCTAGCTAACCTATTCACCACCTCATTGTCCACAACCTCAACATGTGCTGGCACCCATAGAAAACCCACATTACATCCCTGCCTCTCCAGTGTCAAAACCATCATTTGGATCACCGTAACAATATCTGTTTACCCAAACCGACTTCTTCCACCCACCACAGTGCCCACAATAAAGCGACTAATTCTTCTACTATTTTATTGATAAGTTGACATCAGCCTCAGCCCACAGCCATCAAGGGATAGGAGGTCAACATACGGACCCCACCTTTATTATACCAAATCCCAGTTCGTCTGAGAATTTTCTTGCAGAGCTGCCCCTACCCCTCTCCAACTCCCAACACTTCACTAGCATATAGATTGATGGAAGAGCTTGTTAGATCATTTTTTATTGTACTTGTTGTTGACATTATTAACTGTATTTAATGAGTTTGATTTTGAAGATTATTGTACCCTGTTTATATAAAATGCTTCAGAGGCTTATAATGTGTCAAGTGTTAGAAATCAATATCGACTGTTTTGTCAGAAGTGTGATGATGAATTGGTAACTGTACTTACCATAAAGGCTATTTGGCCCATGGAAGCATTCTGGGTGTTAAGATACAACCCAGAGGAGGTGAATGCACATATAAACAATGATTGGTCAATTTCTTTCAAGTAGAAGAGGAGTGTCATGATGTGCCCCTATAAGAAGAATGCAGAATTGGATTGAGGCAATACAAGTGAATGGGAATATAGATTGTGAGAGCACAGATGAACTTATGAAGTTGGATGGAAAAGAGACAACATGGCAAATAAACATTTTTATAGCAATATATCCTTTAACTGAAGCATACAGCACAAGGCACAACTGAAGGCAATGCCAGTCAAGGTGGTGTGTCTCTTGACTGGTCTCCTAGCAGCAGTGCTGGTGTGGCACTTTCTGAGGCTGCTGTGCTGCAATCCAGCACCTCCCTGTGTGCTGATGCTGCATTGTCTGACATTGAACAAAAATATCTTAATGAGATGCAGAGTTCTGTTTAGAAAAATGCAGAGGACAAATATGAAGGCTTTCTTAGCCAGACTTTCTTAGACAATAAGTGAAATCATTGACTTAACTTACAGTAACAAAGTTAGCAGTGCACCTTTAAAAGGTGTTGTGTTGCAGCCAGGCACCTCTCTGCCTGCTGATTCTGCTATTTCAGAGAGAGAGAGAGAGGCAGAGCTGTCACAAGGCACATACACAGGGACAATGTGAGGACATGACTGGCCCAAAATCTGTTTACCTTGGATTTAAAGATGCAGCAGCTTCTCCGCTTTGTCCTACAGAGCCCAGTTTCACTCTGGCTACATTGCATCAACATAATTCCACAGGCATGTCAGTTATTTACTCCATCACATCCAATACTAAGTGAGAGGACACATTGTAAAGTGCCATATACTACAAATGCCTTGTCTCTCTGCTGCTTCTGAAGTTGCTTGCATATACTAAAGCCAGTCAGACATTTGCTGATCCTAGGAGATTTGTGTGACATTACTGAGTATTTGGCAGATAGGATGGTGAAAGATGGTTTTGGCGCTGACACCTTCGCAAGCAGCAGTTTGGCTCTGCAAAGGCCCTGCAGGCTGCAATGCTGGTAGCACATTATCAACCTTTTGACAACGCCATTGTCCACGCCTTGAAACATCACCTAATTCGCCCCACTGCTTTTAAGGGTGTCACCATGGGTGTCACCCACCAACATATTTCTTTTTGAAAACTGTCATTTTCAAACCTTTATTTTATATCGGCAATTTCCTAAGGTTGGCAAAAATTGTACTGTCTACCCACTGTCAATGGTATATATTTTATATAAACTACTTCTACCTCAACCAGTTTCCGTAGTGTAGTGGTTATCACGTTCGCCTAACACGCGAAAGGTCCCCGGTTCGAAACCGGGCGGAAACATTCTTTTCTTCCATAACAGACATTGAATCAAGCTACACAGTAAATACTGTACAATTGAGATATTTAACACAAGCATGCATAATGCGATGGTTAAATAATTATATTTTCACGTTAATAAATTTAATGTTATATCTATTTTATGAATATAAATGTAATGTAATCATTCCTCAGAGGAATTTGTAGTTATTCTTGATGAAGTATTTTAAGCACAGTGTTTAAAATAGAGATATTTTAAATATCAAATATATGTGTTCACAAAAATTGCTCTGCTTGTATTCAAACAGCATTAATCAACCGAAGAACAGTTTTTGCAAATGGAAACAATCTGTTGAAGTTGTTAAAACAACTGTTCAGTGGTCCACTTACCGTAATGCCATACCATTACAGCCAAGGGTAGATCTGGTCTGCATGATTAAACCGGACTTGTTGTAAACTACACCTGGCTGCAGCGATGGACATAGGTTGGGCGCTAAAACAAAACTTAGCTGGATTAATAGCAGTTGGAATGTATCGTGTAAAAGTTTTCCGGTACTTTGGCAGTCATGTCAACCTAAAGGTAAATATAGTTTTTGTAACTTTATGTAAAGCTCTGAGGGTTGCTAGTTAGTAAGGTGTTGCGGTAGTTAATTTTAACGTTAGCTAGTTTGTGTGCTTGGTTGTGAACAATGTTGTTGTGCTTAACTTGAGTGTTAGCTTAGCTACTCCACTGCAAGTCTATCATTGCTGCTCGTGATAATAATTAGCAGAGGCTAATTAAATAGCTTTAATCAACCGATATAACAATTAGGGGGGCTAATTATTATGACTGACTTGTGGATGCTGAAATTTTGACAAACTATATAAAGTGTAAATTAGCATTTTGGACAGCTTCAACACTAGCTATCAGCATTGCTGTTACTGTGGCTGTGTTATGGCAATAGTTGTAACGTTAGCTTACTGTGACTGTTATGAATAACGAGGCTGTGACACATTAGCGTTAGTTAGGATTTAATATGTTAAGTATATTGATTTAATCCTATTTTAGATGTTGTAAACAGTAGCGAGCCAATATTACAATTAGCTATAGCATCTACAGTTATGCATCCGCTGGCTTTGACCATTGCATTCAACGCAAAAAGTTGAAAGAGGGAAAAAGAAGGCCTCCCCGTCGGGGAATCGAACCCCGGTCTCCCGCGCGGCAGGCGGGGATACTCACACACACTATTAACTAAAAGAGGATTGGCCCTGCACATGCATGCAATACCGTCTTTAACCACTATGTGGCGTGATTTGAATATCTGTATTGCTGTTTGGATTTTTTTTGGCGAAGGGGGAATGAAAATATATAAAAATATGGGGGTACCAAGTTTTACATTTAAGCCTTCAACTCCCTGGTATAGGTAAGTGTATAGGGTCGAGTGCATTTTTTCATATGATGCTGTGTGGAAGTTATTGGGGGTAATTTAGACCTCACGATGGCGCTGTTGGCACCTGGGCTACAGGTTCGGTGCAGAACAGCATTTTCTTTGATATTGGAGGCTTTTGATATAGCAGATGGGCTACTCTGATCCTCTTTGGACCCCATGGAAGTGAGCCACTGAAAACATGTTACCTGGTTGATGTTTACTCACTTCGGTTTGACCAATAACTGTATATAAACTGGTGGTTTAATATAAACTGGGAATGTGCTCCTGGGTTCGTGTAAAAGCACACCAACTTCTCTAGATTCAACAGTTTTATATTTCTTGCAGGGATCTTGCAGCTGACCTCCTCCTCTCTTCTTTGAACAACTGAAATGGCTTTAAATGGTAGAGTCGCAGTAGTGACTGGGGCAGCGCTGGGAATAGGAAAAGCAATAACAGAGATACTTCTTCAAAATGGTGCCAAGGTAAAGTTTTGACTCAGTTATTCATCATAGCCCGACATGTTGAGAGTATGTGTGTGTGTATGTTTATTGTGCATTGCTGCAGCTTTAGGGTGTAATAAACAAGCAAAGAGCCAACAGTTTTGTAATGAATGTGTCTTTGTTTATATCTCAAGTTGCACTGAAGCAAAATCCAGCCAGCAAAGTCAATAAATGCAGACCGGACAGTCCAGTATTTTTGCCCATTTCTGGTAACAGTCGAAAACTGCAGTCATGAAAAGCATGGAAATCCTCTAGCTCTCTGACAGACCTTCACCTCTACAGGTAGTCGTCCTGGATGTGAATGAAACCGCAGGCAAGAGTTTAAAGGAAGACCTTGACAAACAGTATGGACAAGAGCGAACTCTGTTCCTGAACTGTGATGTTGAGTCACAGGAGCAGATCAAAGGTAACACAAGAACAAACACTTTGAAAACACAGGTGGAGTCTCATCTACTTACCCTGTTGCAAAACCACAGATTATGTTTAATGCCAAGATTTTTTTTCCAAAGGTTAGGGAAATGTGGTAATGGCAAATAAACTAGTTTAAGTGTAGCTAGGCCTGGGCCACTTGTTAAGGTTAGGGAAAGAGCATGATTTATCAGTTTCTCTCACTGAGATCAGGATTTCTCATACAAGAGAGACCTGAGCATAGCAGAGAGAACAAGGATAGGACACAACTAAATACAACCAGTCACACACAAACACATACAAACAGCATCAGAAAGACTCAGACATCTTTTAAAAAAAAAAAAAAAAGGCCGAAAAGGCTTTTATGTTTTAATGTCCTTAAATTCACGAATTACAATTCATTCATTTTTATGGTGCAAAGTACTGGAAGGCAGTCTTCCCAAGTTTAATATTTACTTGTGGGGTATTGCAAGTTAGCCATTCCTTGGATCTGGTCTGATGCACAGTAGTTATATATTTGAGAAGAGATGTGAGAAACTAAGACAGCTTTAAAAGGATACATTTCAAAATAACAATAGTAGTGTGTCCAGTCAACTTCAACATACAGTATATTACACAGTGATCAGTATGATATTTATGTCCAGTAATGAAATACAGGGCACACTGTGAGTAAACTGTATCAAGGTGGAATGAGTAGAATTACAGAAAGTTTTAAATCAGTGCATGTATTTGCCACAATAAAAAAACAAAAAGAAAAGTTCTGCGGCTGCCTAAATGGTCTACTGAGCTGAACAAGTTGGTTGCAAAATGAAAAGTTAACATCTAACTGACATTTTCTGCTCTAAAGCTGCCTTTCAGAAAACTGCAGAAACCTTCGGAGGAATAGACATCCTGTGCAACAATGCCGGCATCTTGAATGAGAGCGAGTGGGAGAAAACTGTCTCCGTAAACCTGGTAAGAATTTACAGATGTCCTCCAGGTTGCTATTTATTATCTCTAACAATCTTCATGGACTAACACCTCCTTACCTGGCAAAACTCCTCAGTCCTCAGATCACCCCATGTGCACTTATAACAAGGAATGCATGCTGTCTCATTACTATTACTTATCTATTGAGGACAGAAAAAACATGTTTTGCTATGTTTTCTGCTGTAACAATCAAAATAACTCTCTGATGTAGACTGGTGTAATGAAGGTAGCCTACTTGGCCCTGGAGCACATGAACAAGTTGACTTGAGGTTGGGGACGTGTCATCGTCAACACAGCATCCATTGCAGGTATGGCCCACAATGCATTGTGTTATGGTTTATTTCAAAAAACAGAAATGGCAAGGAGTACTTTCCTTCTATCTCCTCAAGCACTCAGCACAGAGACGGAAGGATTTTTATATGTGTATGGATTTGTGCATTCGTTTTCACTGCATCTATGATTGAACATTTTTTAATAAACTCAAGGAGCCCAAACATTATACACTAAATCATAATGACATTAACATTTAGAAATATAAAGGAAAGTGTAATAAAGAAAACTGTCAGCCAAAGTACATGACATCAATGTGTTTGGACAAAGCTCTCTGCAGTGGGTGAGATCTGTCATCTCTCTGTTCCACCTCAGATATGAAGTGTAAAGGCTTATACTGTATATTGTTATTACTCTCCAAAAAATTAAATAGTTCTTCAACAATACCCTGAGGTAGTAGTTATTAGGACAAGCATCCACAAGCTTTTCATTTGCAATAAGAAATGTGGTGAAAATGAAATCTCACAGTCAAAGCCACAGATGGGAGATTTAACAAATGCCATCGGGTCTTTACATTATAATATTAAAAGGGAAATTGCTGCATAAAGATGAGAGAAAATTTAGACAGGGGTTTTGTTCATCCCTACTACTTAGGAATTTGAAGTGTCTGAGAAACGTTTAACCCTGATGTGGACCGATATAACCCACATCTTACAGGTCTTGCCCCAGTATTGTGCTGTCCTGTCTATACAGCCGCCAAGCACGGAGTGATTGGCTTCACTCGAGCCATGGCGGTAAGGAAGGTTATCTTATGATAAAGAAATGAAAACATCATCTTTACTTTCTTTCCATTTTATTGCTTATGGTTTCCACTGTGCCTCCAAGCAGCTGGAGTCTAATTGTGTGTATTTGTGTATCTTTTACTAGGCTGTTTCTGCTGCCTCAGGCTATGGTATACGGTTCAACGCCATTTGCCCAGGTTTGGTCCAAACTGACCTCCTCTCCACCATTTTAGACAGATTGGGACAATTCTCCCACTTGGCTGATGAAATCAAAAAATATGCAGTCATGGGGGTGTTAAAGTAAGTCTTCTTTGTGAAAGTTATAGTCCTTAAGAATTTCATGAAAGTAGTGTTATATCCTGCATTTTTTACTTTCAGTAATTATCTATATATCTGTATAGTAGTTTTTATTCCGAGTGGCAGAGTCTGCCATTCCCTCACTTGATTCAGATTGCTTACCTAAGCACAAGGGACTCACAGGAAAACAATGCATGCATGTAATTCATACCTTGTCAGAGCTAAGTTACTGCTAATGCTAAGGGAACATGCTCCTGTTAAATTACTGTACCTCTTTGTTTCAGCATGTCTGAGGTAGCCGAGTGCCTGCTCGAGCTGGTGACAGATGAGACAAAGAATGGAGAGGCCCTCATTGTGAAACCTAATATAAAGAAATACATGACATTTCCCACCTTAATCGAGTAGCTCTTGGCAATGACAAACTACATCATCGTACAGAACCAAGTAACCTAACTGAATCCAGTAATTAAACTGAATGCCAAGTTTCTTACTGCTTTATTGTGCAGAAAAAGAAATAAACAATCATAAAGTTTTAATAGTTGCTCATTGCATCATACTCGATATTTGTACCACTCAGGGGGAGGCAGACCAGGTGACCAGAAGCTGTAATACAGATTAAATATTGTTCTGCATTATGTGGCTGAAACATTTGATTATGTCCATCTTGAAATAATCAGTTGACTTGTCAATCAAATACTTAAGATATCTGTCATCTGGTTTTATACCCCATTACATGTATCATCCATATTTAAAAAAATCAGACATAACTGTTAATAAACAAGTAATTTCTATTTACACAAACAACCCCAAATTGCAATGGTTTGTGGTTATTAGTGCATACTGTGCTCATATTATGTTTCTCATGTTGTTAACTGATATGAACACTAGAGAAGAAGAGGCAGACAGTGGTTGATCCTGAGTTAAAGTTAGAGCAGTTGAAATCTGATTGTTGTTTACCTCCCAAAGTTCAGATCTTGAGCTTGAAGAAATTCAGATACTTTTGTAAAATAACCCTTGTTCCAACATAGCCAAGTATAAACTGTATAAACACATGTACAGATAAACTTATAAACATACAGACATCCACATATGTACACAGGTGGGATGGGATGAGAATTCATAAGACTACGACTATATGATTACTGTTGGCTGAGCTCAGTTCAGCAGAAATACAGCACTTGGGATACAGACCCCACATGTCAATAATCAGCCAGCTCAATTGTAAAACCTGTGTCTTGGAAAAGAGTATTGTTAGTAGTATTAACCAACGCATTCACATGGGGGCTGGACTGGGGTTTGAACCCATTCTGGTTGGGATCTGGCTATTTGACAGCTAAGCTACATTTAGATAATAGTTGCCTAAACCTGCTGCGATTTCATTATTATTTTTATCATCACTTCTTAAACTGTTTTATAGTTATTAAGCTATTTAAGTCCTCATCTTCAGTGGCAGTGGATGGGAGTTTGAAGATGCTCTTAGCAGTAAGTAATCCAAAAGTTGTTCTCAAAAACCCAAGCCTGAAGTCTTTGACCCACAGACATCACCAGATGTGTTGGATCTTACCTGTTGATGCTCTCCCATTCTTATGCAGCCACCTTCAGCTCTTGCTTGTTGTTGGGTCTCTCTGCCTTTATTCCGATCTTTAGCAAGTGGAATACAGCTCGGTCAGACTGAGATCATATAATTATCTTGGCATTTATAAAGATGTTTTATTTTTTTTAATTCTTTTTTTTACAAAATCCTGATATTTAAACACTACACAAAATGGACTCAATGTTTTGTAGCTGCTCTGTAACTTACTGTTGTTGACCAAAATGTCTTGAGGGCAACACAAAAGATACTAAGCTTGGAAGCAGGTACACCATGATCCAAGCCCCTGATTTAACTCGAAACCAAATGCACACTGAATCAGTGTTTGTAAGTTTTGATCAGGATCAGCTCCAGTCTTGGACCACAAGAGTCATGGTGTCTGTGTCTGCCCTGAAACCTTTCTCTAATACACTTAAAACCTAAAAGACAAAAATCAAAATTCATGTTGTAAGGTCTTTTTTCATATTATTGTTATACACTGTGTAAAGGAACATCAGAACCAACAACATGTATGTGTATGTGTATGTATGTGTATATTTATTATATACAAACTACAACTTCATGACATTATATGCAGAATGACGTGATCATGAAATAAAAAGACCAGGAATTAAACTAAGTGTTGAGAAAAACGGTGTCATCTAGATTTAACAGACCCTTAAAGATGGACACGTTTTCCAGTGAAACAGCGACACCCGGTGGTCATCACACAAAATTACATTCTACGTTTTCTGGATTTCAAATGTATATCTCATATATTTCAATAAATGTTGACATGCTTGAGGAAACACACAATTATGGTAGTTAAGACATGCAATGATTATAATTTATCATTAGTTAAACTACAAGCAAAATTAATGAAAACCAGGACAAGGTGCAAATTATTGATGCTCAATATAACATGGCGAAAAGCCGACAGTTTAGACCTTTCTATGTATAATGTATTGACTATTTCTATTTCCTTGTCTGCTGTACCCAAAGTACTTATCTGATATTTTTTGTACATTAAAGTACAGAGAAACACTGCAACTTTGATGACATGTTCCAGTCGAGGCCGGTTGGTACTGTATGATGTGGTTTGTCACTGCCAAAAGCTACTAGACTGAAGGGAACGTTGCGTATTTCTTAACTTTTGGAATGACCAGGAGAGCCTCTCCGTTCTTTGTCTCATCTGTTACCAGCTCAAGGAAGCACTCAGCTACCTCAGACACACTGAAACAAAAATGTACAGTGACATCAATGAATATACATGGACATGGTATCATACAGGATCATGATAATGTACCTTAACATGTATAACATGATGTCACAGAACAAGCAGTGGAAATTATTTAATGGAGCAGAGAACAGAGTGTAGATTTTGTTAGGCTTTGTACCAACTTTAATAAAGGGACATAATCAAAGACTCACCTTAACATCCCAAGCTTTTCTACTAATTGTTCGGTTTTATCAACCAGGTGGGAGAATCGTCCCATTTTGGATGTGATGGTGGAGAGGAGCTCAGTTTGGACGAAACTTGGGCAAAGAGCGTTAACCCGTATACCATAGCCTGATGCAGTAGAGGCAGCCTTGGAAAAGACACACACACAATTAGGCTTCAGCTGTTCGTGTATGTGTAATACAAGCACTAAAAGAAAAAAGTGGCACTATTATTTTCTTTTGTCTGTTCATTTGTAACCTTCACACATTCATGACACCTTAAATCTGCATTAATTGTTTCTTTATGGCTTCTTGGGGGCAGAAGAACTCACTAACAAACTGACTGTGATTATGGCTGAAATACAGTTCCTAAAGTTCATTTTACATTGGTCAAAAAACCATCGAAGAGCCGCTGACATCTGTTTTTGTCAGCAGTGGGAAAGAGTACAATCTGCATTCACTCGAGGGTCAAATGACTCAGCAGTAGACGCGGATACTTATCAGTTCCGGCTCCAATTGGCAGTGATGCAAACACAACACAACAAATTTTTGCCTGTTTTCTTTGCTGTGACATTTTTCAGAGCACAAACACTGTGCACAGACTGTTACTGGCCCAGCACGGTGCTGTTAAACCACACTGTGGCTACACTGCGCTCAGGGATGAAAGAGTGAGCGCAGCCCAGAAATAAGTTTCAAAAACACACAATCACCGATCAAAGTGTGTCTCACAGAGGCTCTGTCACTTACAGAAGCTCCAACCCGGGGATGCAACACGACAGATCCATTTTACGAGTCTGCACAGCAGCTACCAGCTAACTCTCTCCCTGGCGTTTGTATCTGTGTGTGAACTAACTGCATGTTGTTCAGTCTGAACAGAAAGGTAGACTTAGCTGGCAGTGTAGAAAGAGTCAAAAATTAACTTGTTTACCTGCATTTAAAAAAATGTTGGTGTCAAAGGTTATTATTTACACATTCAACAGACACATAGCAACGTTCTCTCCACATTCTAGTAATTTTTGTGTCCACTTGATGTTTACTTGTAGCTCCATTTTTGTTCTTCACCATCTCCTGCTCTTTAGTTGCTAAATGTTCCACTTTCTTCACCAGCTAGTCGCTAATTTTGTTAATTTTGCTCCTGGGCAGGTTGTGTCCAGTGGGTTTAGCAGAGCTTGTCTGCTGAAAACAGCTGCCTCCTGCTGCAGGACACAGGGCGGGCCACTGAGAGCAATGAGCAGTGGTGGCGAGTAGCCACACTACTGGTTTAACTACATTTACAAGTAGCACCCTGGTAAATAACCATAGCACTGTAAACAGCTACATCCCATCACACAAATGATTAATTCAAAAATATTGATATTAAAAAGTAATTCAACAAATTTGACTGAGAGAGAGCATACAGAGAAATTTAACAAAAACCTGTCTGTGTTCCTTTTTGGCACATTACAACAAATGACAGTTGAGCTTGTCTTTGACACAAATGTTACATAATTGTGCAAAAACCCAATAAAAAAGGCATAAAAAAATAATGTGAAGAAAATCTTCTTTACCGCCATGGCTCGAGTGAAGCCAACCACTCCATTCTTAGTGGCTGTATAGACAGGACAGCTCAGTAAGGGACTGATACCTGTAGGACAGGGGTTATATCAGTCAATATTAGGGTTAAAAAATTTAGGTTGTTGAAATCCTGATTCACAGGACTGCACAAAATTCCTGTTTATGTTCTCTCTTATTTACATGCAACAAGTTGCTGTGAAACAAAATAACATCAAGACCTGATGGCATTTTTAAATGTACCATCTGTGTGCTGTGACTGTGACTATTCAAGGCCAACACAATACTGTAATAATATCATAATAATACATAACCAATATTCCAATATTTGCCTCATGTCATCATCTTATTTATATTTAGACATATATTTTTTTTATTCTGACCTGTTAGAAGTATATTAATTCATTTTACCAGCTTTGTGCAGATAAAAATAAGTTAACAGAGACAAAACATCAAACAACTGTGAAGACTGGATATAAAGTAATTGTGTCATGATTATGTCACAAGTGAGAGGAATCCAGTGGAGTTCTGATAGGCAGGTTTACAAATCTGTGATTAAATAAGTGTCAAGTTGCTGTTTAAAACTTGAGTTACAAGTACAGTTACAAGTACAGCATTCAGTTACAGTACCTAACTGTTCCAGCTAGGCTCATTAAACAACAGGTGTATTCAAAACCATGTACTCTACTCACAATATGGAAAAAAAATATATAAAATCACAGTTAGACTGCTAATTTTTAGAAACACAAAAATGAGATGAAAGAAATGAAGAAAATTTCTGCCTTTTTACTAAAAAAAAGAAAGTGTTTTCTTTGGTTGAAAACGTGCTTTACCTGCCATAGATGCTGTGTTGATGATGACCCCTCCCCGACCTCCATTCAACTTGCTCATGTGCTCCAGAGCCTGGTAAGTGCCCCTGATAACACCCATCTACAATGCAAAATTTATTTTGGTGTCTGTTCATTAATACATGGTGCTTTGTGTACCAAATGTTGTGAAATTAAACAGAGGAAGCATGAAGCCATGTAAAATTTGCTTAATTTAACTCAAGTTGCAAAATAATTTCTTCACACTCCTTTATTTAAAAGGAGGAAATGTCAATGTTCCTGTTATCTGCAGTCAGACAACAATTTGTGAAACACTGAACACAGAATAACGTGCTATGGTGTAATTTCCCCTGTGGGAGTAGTGCAGCTGAGTACAAGTGAGTAAATGAAGCAAAATCAGAACCAGATGAAGGATGTTGCTCTGTCTCGTTCTTACAAGGTTTATGGAGACAGCTTGCTCCCACGCACTCTCATTCATGATGCCAGCATTGTTGCACAGGATGTCCATTCCTCCGAAGGTTTCTGTGGTTTTCTGAAAGGCAGCTTAGAGAGAAGAAGAAGAAAAAAACAGTTTGCAGTGAACTTCTCATTTCACAACCAAGCAACCAACAAAGCAAAAAACAAATTTCTTGTTTTGTGGTTTATTTGAATTTATATGGGAACTTATTTTAAAACATGTTATAGACCAAATAATCAATAGATGTAAATAATGTGAAAATAATCAATGGACATGTTGATAATGTTAGTTGCAGCCCTGATTCACTGACATTAAATTATGAGTTAGTTATTTGAGACTAGGGCTGGATAACATGGCGAAAAATATTGCCATAGCATTTCTCTCATATTGATCAATATTGATAATTATCAATATAAACATTTAATACTACTAATAAGGAAGGAAACATGTTCAACATGTTAAACAGTTTGAGACTAGATAGATAGATGCCATTTTCACCTATCAAGTTCAAATTTATTGTCACATACAGTAACAGGATGTTCAACAAAAAGCTTGTGCTCTGGTAATGCTCTGATTGCACATAAAAAAACTTAAATTCATTGTGAGCACATTAAGGCCTTGGGGTGTTTGTCATCTCTCTATTGTGTTTGTGAATGATTTCCTCAATCGAACTATAATTAAAGTAACTGTGCACCACAAATGAATCCGGGGTGTGGTTCTGGACCTGCAATTTAAATACCACGTCTAAGCTTAATTCAAAACAAAATGTCCCTGAGTTTGTGAGTTTCCTGGTATCTGTACAGACAACCATCTACTGATGTTACTTTTTGGTTCCAAAACAAATTAGCCATGCTTATTACAGTAAATGTGAGTCCAGCTGACTTCCTCTATCCAGTACTTCCTTCACTTCCAAACTTTGTTTTTCAAGTGTGTGTGTGCATGTGTGCATGTGTGTAATACCTTTGATCTGCTCCTCTGACTCAACGTTACATTTCAGGAACAAAGTTCTCTCTTGTCCATATTGTTTATTGAGGGCTTCCATCAAACTCTCTGCTGCAGTTTCATTCACATCCAAGAGAGCTACCTGTACAGGTGAGGGACCATGATATTTATACTGGTTTATTAGGTCATCTTATATAAAGCTATCATAGTCTAATCTAACCAGACCTACAATAAGGGTTATAATATTCAGTTTTGCTTGAAAATCTTTTGATTCAACTTTATGATCACTTTGGAGGCTGTAGTTTGTGGTGCTGGTGAATGTGTTATACTGAGAGGTATAACTAATATTTGATCTACCTTCAACACCATTTAATGTACCCTACTCTACACGTCAAGAAGAAAGTAAGACAGTAGGAAAATCCTTAAATTGTCTAGCAAATCCAATAAAGAGATACTCCAGCATTTTTGTATTGCACTTCCATATCATTTTTTTCACATGAAACAACACCCTGCTCTGGGTGCAGATGATATACCAGCCTGAGTTTATTCAAAACTAAGTCTTTGCACACTAACAAGGCTGAGAGCCATCTTGCAATTGGAATAGTACGATCTATCCTTATGTGGTAAAAAGATTCCTCATCAGGGCGAGAAATATTTCAAACATAATGATTACAACATTGTACTCTACATAGAAAATACACCTGTGTGTCATCTTTTAACGATGAAACATTTTCTCAAATCGGATGGCTGGATGTTTTGTTGCAGTTGGTCAAGGTGGAGTTGTGTTGAGCACTTAAATCTGCAAAACATTTAATCCTCTGAGGATATTTCTATCTATAACTGGGTTCTTAAAACCTTTTATTATTATTATTAAATTAATGTTCTAAAACAGAATAATTCAGGTTGAACAGGTTGAAGCAGTTTTTTCACTTATTATTAATATAATTATTGTATGTTGATGTACAACTGACTTCTGCTTTAAAGTAAACAACTGAGACAAAACTTTACCTTGGCACCGTTCTGCAGAAGTATCTCCGTTATTGCTTTTCCTATTCCCATTGCTGCTCCGGTCACTACTGCGATTTTACCATTTAAATCCATTTTAGATGTTAGGTCTAAAAGAGCATGAGATCAACTGTAGGATCCTTGCGGGAAATATGACCGTGTTGAGTTGAGTCAGTTTCTTTTAAAACGGAGTCCGCCCATAAGAGAGAAAGCGTAACGTGTCAAAACATGCTGGTCAGGAGGGCGCAAAATACCGGTATAGACTATTAAACGCCGTCACAGCAGGACACACTTGAGAAGGAAAGTTAAAAGCAAATCAAGTAGGACCCGGGTGAATTGTGTTGAAAATGATTTTAAATGCGTATTGAGCAATGTCGATTGTGGAATAATCTTGTGCTACGAGAAACCACATGTCTGTGGCGATACTGGTCAACCCATTGTTTGATCCCGAAGGACCAGTTCTCACGTGATTTTGGCACTTAATTTACAGAGATTAAAGCACCGCGTAACAAGTCACAAACTTTGGGACTAACGTTCACACTGGACCAGAGACAGTGGTGAAACCGAGGGTTTATTTCTGATTATTTCCATCTTTGTCACTTGGGTTTCCCCACCTCCCCGCCCCTTTAGGAGACCTTTGGCACGTCTGAGTGTATTCATTCCAATGGGAGAAGTGAACGAGATCACAAATTATGACAGATTCTTTCGCTCCATAGTCACTGAAATAAATATTGGACAATTTTTCACAAGCCACGTGTCTTCAGAACATTCTGACATCGAAATGATATTTTTCAGATCAAAAGATCAGGAGAAAATTAACTTTATTGGAGATCTGCCTCTGTCTCAGCACCATACTCTCGCGAGATTTGGCAACTGACATTGTTTGCCAACCGATAACTGGGTGTTTAAATGGACCAGAGTTATGTTTGGATTGAGTTACTTATACGTGAAACCATTGATTAAACTTTAAAACTTAAATAAAACTTCTTTCATTGCTTAACAATTGGTATCGTTGTATGTCGTCATTATTTAAGTATCTGGAAGGAAAAAAGAGAGTATTAGCCTCTTAAGCTGATATGACTTACTGGGTTGATCAGATGTGGTTAGTTGATAAAAACAGCGGAAAAAGGCGCAAATGTGTCAGTTCCTGTTAAAAATGCTCAAGCTTTGTGCAGCAATTGGCTGTAATAACAATTCAAACGTATCTGTTTTTACTTTCCCTAATGATGCTGAGTCTAAACAGGGATATATTTTAATATTAGCTACTGTCACATGTCATGTCAGTTGCCTTTACTTGAGGAAGGGTTGGGGGACAACGCTCACTTAGGAGATGGGAACTGTATCCCATTTCATACCATTGGTGCTGCCTGTAATGCGGTGTCTTTAGACATCGCTTGAAGGTGAATTAAGTAAAATGACCAACTAGCTTTTTGACACCCTCTTCAATTCTGCATACGCACCTTTAGACAAGTAATGGGTAGTTTAAAAAAAAAAAAAAAAAAAGACATTGAATTACGTCTTTTACTTCCTAATACCCAAACTAAGCATGTGAGCGATATGGAGCAGGACTGACCCAGTAAAAAAAAGTTGAATATTTAGTGTTTAAAAGCTAATGTTGGTTAATTATATGAATGAAATTTTGTTAACTTTTTAGTTATTATTTAAATTGAACAATTGAAACTGACACATTTTCAATGGAGTTTGGAGTGACTGTTATAAGAAAAACGTTTCCTAGAGTCCAAACACGTTCTACATTCATATATATGGTCACTAGATGGAGGTAGAGGGCTGTGTAAACTGATAGCTCATATTCATCAACCTCTCCTCAATCTCTCCTCATCCGTAGGACAATGCAAAAAAAAAAAAAAGTAATATAAGTGGGGGACTTCATATGTTAAAGCAGCACAGAGGCTAAGACACAAAGGATAAAAGTACGATTTCAATGACATAAATGAAAATACAAGAATAAATTAAGGAAATTAGAGAGGCGACAATAAAATGATATGTCTCCAGTATATACATTTCAATACCTTTAGACTATATTAACTACACCTATAATTACACCTGTGTTCTAGGTATATAGGTGTAAGCTTGGATGATAAATATAGTACATGCATAGGGTATACGGTATTGTATATATATGGCTGTATAACACCTAAGCCAAAGGAAGTGGCTCATGAACTGGACTAAACTAAACTATTCTGGTTTTATGTATTATTGTTAACTATTATTATTATTGATAATAATAATGAGCTACTGGACACTTTAATTTCCCCAATGGGATAAATAAAGTATCAATCTATCTATCTATCTATCTATCTATCTATCTATCTATCTATCTATCTATCTATCTATCTATCTATCTATCTATCTATCTATCTATCTATCTAGTGTTGTAAGTATTATAAAATATAATACAATTTCACAATACTGTGAAATATATGTAATAGAATCAGAAAATAATACCATGATAAAGAACATAATGCAATATTGAAAATACAATAATAATAATAATAATAATAATACAGTTGAAATATTGTGTTATAACTATTTCCATAGTTATGATAAATATTATAATATATAAAGGAGCACACTTTGCAGTCACTTCCTGTGTCTTTCAGGCTTCATTTGTTCAAATACTTTAAACCAGTTCTTCCCATCCCAGGACTTCCTCAAGGGGTCCCAAGATAAATCTAAAGGATTACGAGATGATTATGAGGAATAAGAAACAAACTTGTTCTGCCACTTAAAAAGGAGTTCTTTTCCTTTGAAGTTCAATATGAGGGCAATATGACAATATGAGGGAAAATAACTCTGTGGTAGAAGTGCTTATTCATACAACTCATACACAAATACACCTTATGATGGGGTGTCACAAGAAAACATTTTTACTTTATGACAACTAACAATCTAAGTTATCAAAAGGTAAAAATGTTAGGAACCACTACTAACTACAAACTGAATACTTTTGTGTACTTTTTAGTACACAAATGTACTCCTCCTGTAGCTCTATGTCAGACACACAGCTGCTGAACTGTGCCTGTCACATGATTGTTATTTTCACAAATAAGCATAGAAACATTTTCTGATCTGTTTGATTTAGTGCTAATCAGGAAGAGCAGGATCATCTGTGTTCCCTCAGTGCTTCCTGCAGCATTTTATGTAAGTGCACATACAATAAGTTATATCCACAATGCATGTACAGTATATGTGTCACTGTTTGAGGGGGAGAGTTGTGTATAAAAGGTTTACAGGTGTGTGTGTGTGTGTGTGTGTGTGTGTGTGTGTGTGTGTGTGTGTGTGTGTGTGTGTGTGTTCAGAACGGCTGTTGCTTAAAGGGTTTTGATGAGCATTCTTTGCATGACTGTGCATGCTGCTGTAACTCTAGAGCTCACTGAAGGAAATACAGTGTGGGACTCTGCCCAGAGGTCTGTTACAACCACTAGAAATATGCCCAAAACTGTTGCAACAGAAGTGACAACATAGTTGACACATGATGATGATGCCGAATACTCAGATTATTGTCTCTTTTTGTTCAGCCTGTTCAAGGCCAGAGGTCAGCACACTGTGATGCACCTCTGTAAATGTATGTAATGTTTGTTTGATGTAACAAGGACCACAACTGTAAATGCATTTTTTCGTGGGAAGTTGGGGCTGTGGCCTTGAACCTGGAACATAAAAACACACAAACTTCATTGTAGCTGTGGCAGGATGGGAACCTCCTCCTGTCATAAATGTGAGGTGATTTGACTTTTGAAGAGACTTATGACCATGTCTGAACAGTGGCTCACTAGAAAGATTTTGCATGGACATCCTTAATTTTTCTTTTCTTTCTTCATAACTTGAGTCTTTATTTAGTTTAACAATGTGACATTATATAATAATACACATGACATGCTATAGAAACAAAAAAAACACTGGCACTCCAATATTCTTTTATATTCTGTTAACACATACCCTCTCTAAGATGTTGCACACTTCATGTGTGTCAGGAAATTGTGACAGTTTGCTTGTATTGCTTTAAACATTATTTACCCTGGAAATCCGCTTTTCAAAAGAAGGAGTCTCCGTCATGAGTTTAGTTCACTCTATACACTCAACATCCTTATTTTAATTATTTATTTTAACCCTGATTAGCTCTGGGGTCCATGCAAAAAAACAAAAAAAAACAATAAAAACAACAATTAGAAATCACACATTATCAATAAAACAAGTAAAGGCAAACATAAAGCTCAGGAGATAAATGAATAACTTTACATTTGAAAAGGTAGATGATAGAAACTTACATTGAAAACAAGAACTTGTCAAAATAAATAATAACAAAATAAATAAACATCCTAAAGGTTCCAAAACAGCAATAACTAAAAGTAACATCTGTGTGAAATTCATTGGCTTTTGTTTTAGTGACTTTTTGAAAGAAAATCTAAAAACAAGTATTCATTAGTTTTCCACGAAAAAAGCATGGTATATTATTCCAAGTGACACTTTGATATTTGCTTTGCTATGAAGCAGCTGAAAACAATAGCTGCTCCGTTTTATTTATTGCTTTTACTGAGGTATTTGCTCGTCTGTGTTCAGAACGTCTGCACTTGTTTATGTGTCTCTGTCCTTAGTAGGTTGTTGTTGCTGTGGTTTTTACTCATCAGCCCTGTGCTGTTTGTTGTCATTGCTATATTTAGTATTGTTTTAATAGTGGCTTTTTCTCAGCACTTTGTGATTTTGCATCTGTGAAATGTGCTATACAAATGAACTTACTTATTTGCAAGAATAACAGGAGATCAGCTCTTAATGCAAACTCCTCTGTTAACCATGATGATTGTTTGTGCATCACACACACATTAACAGGAGAACAATGAAAAACCTACCTCGATTAGTGAGTGAAACCTTTATTTTGAATAATTAGTCTATTTTTTTTAAAGCAAGTTATAGGGTGATATTCACTCAGTAAAAAGTATTCCTGATGTAAAAGGAAAGATGTTCTGTTGATGGCCCTCATTTTCATGAGTTCCTCTGGATGGAGGATTATAATAAACTTTATTTGCCAGGCTCTGGATAGAAGACAGCCATTTGTTTGCCATGTGATTTTGAAGAGGAAGTTGATCATGACCATGATGATCATGTCTTACATGTTTCACTACCATGGTGGATGTTTTGGTGTCTTGGTATCTAGTCCATGTGAATTTGGAAAGTGCATGCCACAGTAACCCTAACTAAGTGTGGGAAATTATTCCTTTACTACAGTTGCATTCACCATAAGTAGATGCAAACAAATTACTATAATATAGTATATGTTTTTTTTATATTGCTGTGGAGACGTGTACAGAGCTGTGAGTCCTAAACTGCTACTAGGTGGAGTGTAGAGTTGCCACAGGATGATTTATTGCCTGTTCGACTGTGTCTGTTA